ATATATAATTTTTTTCTTTTTTTTTTATGATTCTGGACCAAGTAGTGTTTCCGAACACTACAATACAATCTAATCTGGCCCATACTAGGGCTGGGCAACATAGTGATAAAAATAAAAGCATTATGTCAACACGTGACACATGTTGATATGCTATTTTGTTAAAAAAATAAATAAATAAATAAAAAATTATGATTCAGCTTTTTTTTTTTTTTTTTATGCAGCTCTGTGGTAAAACCTGACACTGTTTATAAGTCAGTCTGTGTCATGCTCTGAGTGAGTAGTAGCCAGTATAACTAATCACAGTGAAATGTAACATTTCAGAAAGAGCTTTAGTTACCTTATAAATACTGTATAAAGATACTAAGAAAACAAGTATCGTCTGGTAAAATCAGCATCGTGGTCTGACTCTAAGAAAATTGTGATATGATATCATATCACCCCTAGCCGAACTAACAAACCTCATTTGCAGCAGTAATTTGATGCAAACTTCTTTATTTTAGCTGGTCCCAAAGTGAGAAACTAGATCTCTCCATTTGCACCCAGACTGGTGATCATGTTTTGCCCCAGTCTGCCTCTGCCCCTGACCTCTTCTCTTAATGGCTTCTACCTCCCTGTTTCTACATTTATGCACACCATCAGCCATGTCCCAGGGCAAGGTGTCGCATCAATACATCCCACATGGACAAACTGGTCACGATAATAAACCCCAAGTTCCCATTTTGTCGAAAGCAATTCAGAGAAAGTTTGTAGTTTATGCCTCGTGCTGACCTAAACAAGCTACACTGTCTGATGACTATAGAGTTCTTCGGCTTTAGTCTGGTCATACATTTAAATAGAGAGAATGAGACGGAGAAAATGAAAGCTTGGTGAGAATTGATTTTTCCATATTGAATAAACTAAGCACTCGCGCACACACACACACACACACAGTACACACACACACACACACACATTGCAGGACTATACCCTTCCACCCTATTGATCCATGCTGCCAATAACACAGTCATTTGCCATCAAGGATTTGTTACAATCATTATATACTGACCTAACTAGAGAACAGTACAACCTACAGAAATATACAAAAAGTTATTTTATGTCACCAAAAATAACTTAACCTAATGCATTTATATAATTTTCTATCATTAGGTAGATAAATTATTAACAAAGTAAGTATACAATAAGCCAATAAAAGTTGTTAACAAAGCAAATGTTATATAACAGCTGTAGTGTTACACATAAACAAAAATAATTAGGGATGGAGTGAGATACAATTTCCCCATACTTGATGAGACACGAGACTGGATCTACAAGAATGAGATAAGACAAGATTTTGACATTTATAATATAATAAATACATTGTGCAATCCAATTCCCAATTTTGGCCTCAACATTTTTGATATACTTTATTTAATATTTCTGCTGTTATTGTAGCACTGCTTTTTGGGACTACAGCTTCACAAAAATTGTAACTCACCAGTACTCATTTTTTATCCAATCCTAACATAAAAGCATTGAAAAGAAATTTCACAAGATTATTTTACACTCTTGTGACAATTTTGCCTCATGAGATCTTGTGGCACGAGATCTTGTCCCATACTTATAAATAGCAGTAATACATTTACAACTATTTGCACTTGGAACATCATTTTACAAGATTGTCAGTTTTTGTACAAAATGCCAGTTCCTCCATCAGAGTAGAATCCAATACTGTGGGTGTTATTTACAATGTAAGCCAGTGTCAGTATGTAAGTAGTTAGTATGGAGGGAAAGTTGTGACAAGAATAACATTTAAACCCTGCCAGAATCACAGCATGTCACACTAAATCAGCACCTGCTAATCATGTGTGACATTACGCAATGTACAGCCCTAAAATAAGATGTGTGTAGTTTTGGGAGGTTTTCAAGCGCTGCTTTAGTAACTGTGCAGGCTGCTCCTAATTAGCAGCTCACTGGCGTTTGTCATCCACAGTGTATCCAAAGACTAAGCATGTCAATCTACTTTTATTTAACCTTTGTTTTTATACGTTAGCTTCTAAATGACAATAAAGGTGTCTGCTGCACTCATCAAGGCCTCCTCAAAGTGAATTCTGGCTCAGGTCTGCATTTTTAATAGGGGCATGATACAACATCATACGGTAAATTGCATTTGTGTTTCAACCTTGCTCCGCACTCCCAGGTGAACTCTTAGAGATGAGATGAATAGAGAATATGTGAAGTCACTTTCAAACCAGCAGTGAATGACAATTAAGTTTAAATGCAAAACAGAAAGCTTTTTCAGTGGGGAAAGCAATAAGCAAAACAATTAATATCACAAATTGGAGTCAGAACATATGATTTTATCACGATTCACATAAACAATGCATCTATATATTGTCTTGAAGAGGTAACTAAAATCATCTGATATTCTGAAAGTCATTGCAAGATTGTTAGTTTCATTTGTCTCTCCCTCAGAGCATTTCTGAGACTGAAAGTGAGAAGTGAGAAACATGTTTCAGAGGTGCATTCAAGAGAAAATTTGTAAATCAATATTGTAATTTTACCAAAAAAAAAAACAAAAACATAACAGGATTAAGCTTACAATTCAATGTTTATTACCATGATATCGCCAAGCCCTTTTTACTGTTTTCAACATTTGTCATCAAGGTAAAAATGGTCTGCTTATTGTGAGTGTAAGAGCAGCTATGATGGGATTAGAATCAGTCCACTATTTTACCACATTTTCCCAGTTTCTAAAAATACAGAGCTTGACTTTTGTGGGAGAAAGGAACAGCCAATTTTGTAATGTTGGAACAGATTCACTATACAGAAAAGGAAGGAACTACACTGTTTTGCAAAGCAGAGAGTCAAAATTGAATGCATGTTTTATTTCAGTCCAAAATCTAGGTAGATTGAGATATGGCAAAAGATTGCTTCTCTGTACTGTACTTAAAGCAGTCGGTGGGCAAACTTCATATTTGCTTTGTTTACCGTCATATATAGCCACTACCTCTCTGCTTCTATTGCTCATTAGTACAGTGCATTCAAGATGGCTGAAAAAGAACTGCTTTTACCATTACACTCTATGCTTAGTGATGCACTCTCAATAAATGTTTGTGCCGCTTGAGTAATCTCCAGTGCTGACAGGGTCCTAGATTCAAAAACATGGTCCAAGCTTGTGTTCATCCCCATAGCTCCAAGTGTATAATGCGCATCTTTTCATCACTTGCAACTGCTTGAGTGCCCTTGAGCAAAGTGCTGACCCTTGGTGTAATTACAGCAGTACAAGGCTGGACTGGACACTGTGCTGATGTGTGACTGTGTGAATGTGATGGCCTGTTTTTCCACAACTTCTCCCCAAGGCTGCAGCACTAACCACTAGTGACCACGACAACTCAACAGAGGCTAGTGCAATTATTTGTGATTGATCGCAGTTATCGATTTGCAGCTCTTAAATTGACAGGTCTACGGCCAGATATGTAGCAGTAAAAGAATACGGTCTGGAGACTATTGGACTTTTTAATGCAAGTGTTAATTTGGACTGATGTGGAGAGCATTCTTTTGTTGGTTTAAGATATTCTGAACAGTTTCTGAGAAAAAATCATAACAAATGTAATGAACAGAATGTTTAACTAATGGAAAACAATATTCTTCTAGTTTATAGCGCTAACGCAGGGCATTGAAGTGGTAATAAGTAAGGCTAATTGAATAGGAAGATCGAATTCAGTGGACAGCATGACATAGAAGTGACTGGTAGAGCAAATGTGAAGTCTATGATCATTTCCAATCAAACAGATGATGAGTGCATGGAATATTATATCATGTATGATATAATATTATGGTACAGTAACTGCTCATGGGATTAACTGCTTGCTTAGCAAAATGATTCAGGTTTGAAGTTAGTAATAGACCTAGCAGAAAATACTCCTTGTGTTGGATCTGCAACTCATCCTCTAAATCAAGTTTCTATTTCTGATGGATACTTGTAGTAATATAATAATAATTATCTCGCTGACGCTGAAGGTAAATCAACTCTGAAACTGCATAATAAAACATCTGCCAAGAACATTGCAAATTTTTCAGTGTTCTTATGTGAGCTTTTACACAAAAGTTCTGATGAAATAAATGTGTTATTGAATTTTAGTGAATCATTGGCATAACATAAATGTACTGTAACTTGGCCAGGTGGTGCCACCGGCTTGTCTCCATGGAGATAGACAAGTTGTTTAATGCCATAGTGTGGAACATTCAGGGGACAGCAATAGCACCTCAATGTAAACAAGCAGGTGATGGAGCCTTTCCCAGAAAAGTTATATAATTAATTAATTAACTAAATTATTAAATTAATTAATTATTTTTTACAGTGGGGTGCATTGCATATCCATTTTTACATTCTCCTCTTTCATACACTGTCATACAAGTGCCGCTTATCTTCAGCTTCTCTGGAATTACTGAATTACTGCATTTAGAAAATCACTGTGTTTTGCCCAATTACAGGCCATCGCGCTCTATCATCCAGCTGGTAAATCTCTGACAGAACGCGAGACGGCTGTGTGCATTAGGAGGACCCATAACTTGGCAGGTGCAAGAGTAAATGTGTGAGTAGGATTTCAACCATTCGAAATCTGTCAATTCTGGAAGAGGATTTGAGCTAGAGAACAATAGTTTGCGTAGGTCTGATTTAGGCCACTCAACAAGTTAGACTGAAAATATAGTGTGGTCAATTGGTATATTCTGTGTTACTTGTGGTGAAAGTAGTTTTGGTTTTGAACGTCACTGAATTCATTTGATGTCTTGTGCAGTCAATTGCACATTGGTGCTACAACTCAAAAACTGATTTAGTATTACTTTTTTTTGTCCTGGTTCAAATGCTGCTTCTTGAGGTTGGTCATTTAGAGAGCTTGTCAAACTCTATTATAGTGGCAGTTTATATCCAGTTGATTCAAATAAATAAGCAAATATCAAAGGTGTAAATCCAGTAGTGTCAGCTGGGATTGGCAGTGCTGAGATGGAGCATTACTTACAGGCATGTGTGACAGAAAAGCTGTTGGATGACTCCAGGTTGTCCACATTGTAATTGAGGTGGAAGGGTTTCTCTGTCACATTTTGGTTGGTGTTATACAGCTGGACAGCAAACCTGAAGGCGCTGTGCTCCTGGACCGTGGAGCGCATAAACAGTCCACCTACAGCAGACAAGACAATGTCAAACAACAGGCTCTCATTAGTTCAGTTCAACAGACACTTCCACCAGGCCTTATTTGGTCCTTATGCGCAAGATAGATGCCTTCTTGAGCGGCTGCCACGTTATTAGCCTTCTCCGGGACACGATGAGAAGACTTAACTTCACACAAGTCAAGGCACGTCACGTTTTCTCACTAAATAATGCACTGCAGAGAGCGTAAAAAGCCAATTTGGATCAACTCTATTTTTACCCCCCCCCGCCCACAAGACATTGTAACGGGGTGAACTTGACATAGAAAAGATAGCAGCTTCAACAAAGAGATGCAGCCCAGTGAAGTGAGTGCCCCATTCAACTTACCTATGTTGATTTGATTCGGGAAGCCAGCTCGCGCCTCTCCAAAAACGCACAACAAAACAAAGGTTGCCTTTATTGTTCGAAGCCACATTTTGGTCAGAGAAGTAAAATTAATTCCCGCGTTTGAGGTGAAGCGAGGCGAACCATGAACATAGGCGCAAAAGAAATCCACAAGATGCGATCGTCGGGTCGCTCTCTCTCTCTCTCTGGCAGAGTGCACCAAACAGAGTGTGTGCCAGCGCAACTGCAGCGCTCCTGCCGCTGCCGGGTACAGAGCCGGTCTGTGAGTTAAAGATGGTGGTGGGACCGTGTGGAGCCGACGCGCATCTCCGTCCTGTAGATGGGCTGCATTCAAATGGACCACGGAGAGACAGAGTGAAGGCGGGAGGGAGGCAGAGGTAGCAGGGGGCGTTTATCAAACTTGGTCCGATGGTGAATTATAATAAGAGCAGACCCCTGTCTTTCTCCTCACGTCACTGCAGAGTTGAAGCGAGGCGGTGCAGAGCGTGCTGCAAAGAATTGAACCAAGACACCCACACCACTTCTGTATGGACTCAACTCAGAGATGCGCAAAACGTGACTCCATAACATATAATCGCGTAATCAGCGAATAATGCGCTAATTGACTTTGTCTCGACAGCTCCAAAAAGTAGCCCAATACAGGCTATCGTGTAAAGCAGAATATCTCGTTAATTTATCATCACTGGCATCTCTCATTCACCTTCATTACCTCCCTTGCCTTTTCTTGCCTTCCTTGTCTTTGTGTCTTTTAATAGCCTTGAACACAAAATAACACAGGCTTATTAAACAATGATATCTGTTAATTGGTTTGGTGAAATTGTGACTTGAATTCCTTATGAACTTCCTTCACACTAGCAGTGTAGTCTTGAACAAATAGGCCAAGGCTCTCAACCCAGAACAACACTTACCTTAACAAGATATTCGTCCTTTAGTTATTTAGCTATATGCATATTTAACTTTATATTAGAACATCTTTTAGTTGATAGTATTATGCTCTTATGTATTAATCAGTCTAAATATAGTCGTGTGAAACATCCCTGTGCAGTAGTGATACAGCTCTCCTCTCAGTGTAATCTGAAGCTGTCCCCTTCAGGTCTCCCACTGCACTTAGAAGAGAGCTAATGCTGTGATTTATCATTATTTAATCACTAGTTGCCAAGTTGCCTCACTAATGATATATATTAGGCTCTTAATTGACTAAGTGCTGCTCCTGGGAAAAAGTGTGGCTTTGTGCTGTATGTTTTGTACATTGAAAATATAATGTAATAATTGTGATATATTTTCTTTATTATAATGTGAACTTGTAGAACTCAATTTGCCTGAAGTTATTTTATTAAAAGTTTATATGGGCTGTGGGACTTTAATTGAATATTTCTTATGTATATTTAATTGAGTGTGTAATTGTTTTTGGTAACCACTTGAAATGCACTGACTATTGTAGCTGATGACTATGCCTTCAGTGTAATACAATATCAAGAAGAAATCATTGGCTGTTTTGAGACTGCAGCAGAATCCAGCACAGCACAGTCTGCCTATTGATCCTGATCTGATTTAATGTTTGGCATACAAGTCTAATCTTTCACAACCAGCAACAGAATACACAATATAAGCACCTTTTACTCAAATGATTGCTCAAAAAGATCAGATGTATATTTGTTATGTATGATATACTTTTAGATAAAATACTACATGAATTTTACTTACACGATCTTCATCACATTGAAGTAGAGATTTTCACATATGTTTTGCATACATGGAGTGATGAAAAATTCACACTTTTGCCATAGCAATTAAGAATCTACAACAAAAGAATATATCCTTTGAAAGAATGAAATTTCCTCTGTCTTTCATAATCAGGAAGTTGAAACTAATTAATATTACAGATTGCAGGAATATGAATCGTGATCATTTAGATATTTAGATAGTTATAACAGAAATGGTTGCCCGGGGAAGAAAAGTTTTGATAATTTACTTGATAGTTTCATTGGCATTGTACCCATTGTTAGGGATGCTCCAATCTAGCTTTTTCAGTTCTTGTTAACAATATTGATACTTTTACTGTATATTAACCATTACCAGTGTAGGGACACAAAATTGCACTTATTTTCTTAAAATGCAGTTAACTTATTATGCAAGAGATACCGATATGTTAGGTAACTGTTACTTATCAGTTATCCTTCAAATAACCACAGAACAGCTTTGTATGAATAAAAGTTGAAACATTATTAATTAATTAATTGATCATTGCATTTATATAGCGCCTTTCAAGATACCCAAAGTGCTTTACAGTTCATTATTCATTCACTCACTCAACACTAAGCTACTACTGTAGCCACAGCTGCCCTGGGGCAGACTGACAGAAGCAAGGCTGCCAATCTGCGCCATAGGCCACTCCGACCACCACCATCTCTCATGCACACACCACTTTCATACAAGGCAATGTGGGTGAAGTGTTTTGCCAAGGACACAACAACAGTTTTTGCCACTGGCGCCCCACTGTGGCAACTGATTTTTCCAGGGGTCTAAATACTAACCAGGCCTGACCCTGCTTAGCTTCTGAGATCTGATGGGACAAGCCGGTATGGCCACAAATGAGAATTATGAAATTATGAGATGTTGTGGGCCAAAATCAGCCTGCAAATTGACCTTTTGCTAGGGATGTAACAATAACTGAAATATTGTGATATCTTATCGTCAAAAGCCTCACAATAATATCATGGGCCATCACAATATATTGAATTACAAGTCTGCTTATATTCGTTGTTATGGTGCTGCATGAGCTAAAAAAAAAACAAGGGGAACTACATAGACCATGATTCTTTGCTCTGTTTCAGTGGAGGCTACATGAATAAATAACTGTTAATAAGCACTTTTAAATCTTAGTTCTTTGGATTATCACAATACCTTGTCTTGTCACAAGTCTTGTCAAGATATTTTAACAAGTAAATATATATTGACAATTTTATTGGCCTCCACAAAATATCGCAATAAACACAGAGAGAGCTGGATATCGTTACATCCCAACTTATTACATCCAATTATAGGCCCAACCAAGGTATCGGCTGAACCGATATCATGGAACTGATACTCAATAACAGTATCAGTATCGGTGTGCATCCTTACCCATTATACAGTAAGTAAGGGTGCATTCACACTTGCACATTCACCACATAAAAACTGTGATGAAACATGGAAGTAAACTAGGGCTATACCAGGACTAAAACACAACAGGACTAAATCAATCAATTATCAATCAATCATAAAGAGTGAATGCACCCTAAGAGTTACTGTGAGAGCAGGAGTACTCTTCCACATCTCCATGTTAATACAGTCAATAAAGCTGCACACTATGCAGGTTAGTGTGAATGTGTTCTATTTTCCAACTTGTTCTTTGAAACAAAAGACGAACAATGGTAATGCAGTGGTAATTGGTGAGTTGGCATTAGTCCAAGAAGCTACACTGAGAAGTGCTACTTACAAAACCAAATAAAAAATGCAGATGAATGTGGACTGCGCTGAGAACATCGACACAGCTCTCTGACACTCTTCAAGCATAACCCTGTTCTTCATATAAAGCTTTTGCTGGTTCCAAGCCAAGAATTATGCACACAAGTTGTGGGCCTGAGGGAGCGGCATGGCCTGAATTCTTGCATATCCAACGTTAGCACAGAGAATACAGCTACCAATCACTCTTCACACATCTCCTATAATAAAGTCCTCTAAAGTGACATTTTAATAAATGTTGAATTTGAATTACTGCGAGGGAAAATACATGATTTTTATTTCAAAAGTATTAATCAATGGAAATGTTTTTAAGACAGCCAATATTTGTTTTGTTTTTGTTTTTACGACTCTCCGTTCTGATGAGAAAAATATTAATTGGAATATTAAATACTGATAAAAACTGTATTTACCACAGACATCAGAATTACATCTTCTGAAAAACCCAACTAAACCCTCTATAAAAGGCTATTGTTGATAGTACATTGTGTGATTCAGCTAAGAAAACCTCAAAAAATTATTTTGCATGCAAAGTTTGTTCTAGGACAGCCAGTAAAAAATGTCCTTGTATAATTATTTATATATAATATATATTATTTTTTATTATTTTTTATGTGACAAACTGGTATTTAAAGATGTATAAACTAGCTTTTTTAATTAATTGTAAGGGCAGGTTATATTTGAACTAGAAGGGTTTTAAAGGAAAAAGGACAGACTTGCGGGATTGGTAATTCCACTTTTGCTTCTTGTTTGAGTCTGGTCTACACATGTATATCTTTGGGAAACAATGCCTTGGTGGAGGCCTACAGTTGCATTTCTACCATTGTGCTACAACAACTGCTGGGCTGAAACTCCATATTCCAGCACATCTCTATTAAAGTGACATTAGGCTTAGACCCACAGGGAGAGACTGAAGAGCTTTGATGCATGTGTCGCCTCATTTCCTTGGGCACATAATGAAATGAGTGTTGGTGCAGGATAATTAGTGATAAAAAACACTAGTAAACAATGTTTTCTAAAGCAAACAGTGCACAGTGTGTAGAGTCATTATTTATTCTCGGTCAGGGATTAAGAGAGAAAATAAAATAGTATAAGATATGCGCTAATTGACCTGGAGAATAGTGT